ACTTTAGGCCAATAAAACGGGTTCCTAATAGGCCATTTATATATCAGGATTTTGAAATCTACAAATTTAATGCCAAAAAAAAAAAAATTGAATTTCAACATTTATTAGTTTCAAATATGTTTACATTATATTAGTACCTTTATGTGACAAAAAAGAATAAAATAATTTATTTTTTATTTTTACAAACACGAATTACATATATTTATTGAAGAAAACATATTTATATTAATTACAAATGAGCTACCCTGGATCAAGGACTTCTTGAGACGCATTTGGGAGGTGGTGATTCGTCGCAACTGGAGGTGGCCAATTATTGGGCCCGGCCCGGCCCGCCGAGTCGGTGGGCCTCAATATCAAGACCCGTGCCCGGCCCGAAATAAACTATGGGCCGGTTCACCGACCCGGTAGGTCAAGGGCCGATACGGTCCTTAAAAAATTAAAAAATAACACCGCGACCCGACCCAGCCCCGCTCGGACCGGCGGGCAGGAGAAAGAAATTATGGATCAGAATCGAACCGCTGCCCTAAGGGTCCGGTTCAACGAAGCGGCCCTTAGGAGGCCAATTTAGGGTCGGGCCATGATCGGTTCACGGACCGGTTCAGCCCGTGGACATGTCTAGTCACAACTATAGGGAAGTCAATTACGCAGCCGATTATCTAGCCGCACAAGCGACGTTGGGTTCGCTAGGATATCTGAGATCACACGATCCACCAAATGAGGTTAATATTTGGTTGAAACATGACGTAGCGGGTGTTGCTCATCCACGTAGTACCTGCTAAATGCTAATACATGTCCTTCCCATACATAAGGATCTGAAATTAATCTTTGCACTATAATAGTTCGCAGTTAAGTTCTCCTCGATAACTTACATTAATTAGTTAAATGTGTCATGGAAATCAAACATCACACAAGAAGAAGCCAAACATTTGCATTTGGAAACACTAAATAATATTACATCCTAGCAAGTGAAGCGCATGAAATTTATTACAACCATCCTTCAAACTACTGAAAACAAACTGGGACTCTTTTGGGAAGACAAGTCCCCATATACCCATCCTCTTCACAACATTCTCCTAATTTCCCATCCAAACACAGCCTAACTCTAACATTGTCTCTATGAACCCCAACCATGCTCAAACTTGCTTGAAAAATGTCTTTCAACCACTGTCCAAACAAGTCGTTAAGATAAAACCCGGACCGGCACCGGATTTCCTCCAACAAATCCTCCTCGACGTGGAAACCGATGTTACAATTCGTAGCGTTTCGAAACGACCCCTCAATTTTCAACAACAACATTTCTCTTGCCTTCTCGTCTTTATCCGAGTCCCGGTTGAACGCAAACTGGTTCTTGATGATGTTTTTGAGACGCACGAGTGAGTTGGGATCATCACGTTCGACGACTGTGATTTCACGCGTCAATTCGCTCGAAATCGAGCTCAAATTGCCTTGTTCTTCGTCGTGATCGTCAGCTTTTACGTTGAGGTCTAAAACGGTCTCGACGCCGTTTGAAGAAACCTCTTCGACTTCGTTGTGCTTCTTCCTTTGAATATTCTTGCCCTTGACTGGAAATTCCGAATCGTGTTTTCGCTTCCGACCTACTTCGGACGAAAGACTCGACTTGCTAGTAAGGCCGTGTTTGGATTCTTGGGAAACTAGTAGTTTCATCGGTATAACCGAATGATTACAACTCACGTCGCCATCGGTTGTCAAAACAAATATCGCGCGGCAAGAAACTTTCTTGCCCACGATAAACTCGACAAACTCTTGATCGGCATAATCGACATTCTCAATGAAAACGACGAGCTTGTCGTTATTATTCCTCAATGCCGTCTCCAAGATTACGCGGTTTTGAGCCACCGTGTAGTTCTCGTTGTGCCTCATGTTCATGCAAAACAACATATCCGGCGAGCCAAACACCGCTTTAGCTATCCCGACCGCTAACCTTCTCTTCCCAACAAAGTCATTCCCCTCGATCAACCAAACTTCACTATTATGCTTGATTTCTCCACAACAATACTCCACTAATGAGTCCACAATCATAGGAATGGTTTCGCATTGCCAAGGCACACTTTCGTGAACCAATTCACGCAGTTCGCAAATTTTCTCGTGATCATTTGAGTTCCCGAGCGACAGAGTGATTTTGACATCTTTACCCTCCGTGCGCTTAAGGGAATCCAAATTCGGTTTCTTTAATTGATTTTCCGCACTCCCGTTGCTAAAACATAAATCGACACGAGACGATTGTTGATGTCGTCTAAATCGAGGCACGGATGTGGGGTTTTGGTTAGGATCGAGAGATGGATACGAAAATGAAATTGTCCCGGCCGAATTAGGTACATCGTCGCGCGCTTTGTTCGGCCAACATGGATATGGTGAAGATTGGTAGTGATTTTTGCTAATGAGTGTGTCATATTTTGTCCTCCTCAATTGAGCCAAATCTACCTGAAATTCACATAGAAAATCAATTAAAACCAGCCCTACAAGCATACATATATATTGAAGGAAGGGAATAGTAATATTTAACATTAAAAATGGCATTTTGGTTTTGCTCAAAGTCCAAAAAAATGTACCTTATAATTGCCATGAGGTTTGAGCCAATAGGGCAATTGGGCAGAACCATTTACTTGTTCAAAATTTGATGTAGTGTACTCTATACAAGAAGTGGGAACATTATTGTCATGTTCCTTGTGGGGACAAAGGTAGCTTTTTGATGTAATTCTTGAATCCCAACAACTACTGCACATAAAACAGATATTACAAACATGATGTATTAGCATGCAAAATTTGAAGAGAAAATGAATTAATAATTTAGTCAGCTAATAATAAAAATATAGGAAAAAGAAAAATATTTATTTATAAAATTATTAGTATTTATTTAAATAATCAGAGAATACGGTATAGTTTAATTGTTGTATATAGAAGGCTGGTTCCACTATGATTCACAACAAAAATGTTCTTATTCCTTCATACAGTAAGTACAGACAATAACATCACAAATACACATTCTCACACTTTGGAGCCTAAATTTTTCCAAAGATTTTATGTCCTCATTTGAGGTAGTCAAACTAAATGCAAGTGTCACTATACAAGAGAAAAGGGGAAATAATAATCAGTGTAAAAAAAAATGTCAAGATATTTGGACCAATCTAAGGTGTGTCTTATAAAGAAAAAACATTCAACATCAGAAGCTCTAGACATCTTAACATATCATTTTCTCTTTCACTATTAACTGCAAAATTGTCAACATTTTATGATGCATACACATATAAATCAAGAACTTGAAATATTTGTCACATAATATTCAATAATTATATACGCCGACTCACCTCATACCATCGATGCTCGACCCTAGCCCACCCGACAGCACGAAAACCGGCTCGAGATCCCATTGACCTTCCAAGCTCGGCTTCTTCATCCGGCATTTCGCGTACGTCTCGTTATCGGCTGTAGCCATCAACCAAACCCTAATACTCGAGCTCGAGTTATACCAAGATACCAACTTTCCAATCTCACTAACTAAATAATCAATTGGGTTTCTATAAATAGCACTAAAATCAAACTCCCTTATAACATAATCATAATCATGACCCTCTCTTTCGATTGCCCATTTTAAATCCCCAATATAGATAACAACTCTCCCACCAAACCCAAAAGACTCCACTTTCCTCTTGAGATCACCAACATTCATGTCAACTTCATGTTTCTTCATGAACTTTAGAGGAATTGTAGAGAATTGTAGCTTGATCAACTTGACCGACTTCAACGGCTCGACCGGGACATCGCCTTTCTCGAACCTATCCATGAATTCTGAGACGGCCCGTTCGGCCGAGGCGGGCGAGTCCCCGACCACGACGACGTTTTTTCTTGTTTTTCCGAGCAAAACGTCGAAAATAGCCTCGACGTCGTCGGTTTTCGGTTGTGGGAAGAGGAAACTAGGGTTTTTTATTCGGTCCTCGGAGTTTGATTCGAGGTTGGTTTTCACGATGGTGCTCGAGAAGCCGGCTTCCCTCATGACGCGGCTCACGCTCGGGTCGTCGAGGATCGAGAGGACGAGCTGGTCGAGGTCGACTCGGACGGGGACGAGGCAACTCGGCGGGTGGAGGAGGTCGTGGTGGGCTCCGGCGGCGGACGACGAGCGGCGGTGGTGGGCTTGGGCCCGTTTGAGGGCGGCGGCCATGGCGTTGGAGAGGGATGGAGGATGGAAAGGGGAGGTGGAGGAGGAGGGGAGGCGGTTGAGGGCGACGCCGAGGCAGAGCTCGAGGGCGCGGCGGTGGGCGGCGGCGGAGGG